GAATTAAATTAAACAAATCTGCCAAAACCTCTAAATAATTAAGTCAGCCTAGTAGTCATTTTGGTGGATTCTAGCTTGATTGCTTAAGAAATCCTGCTTGGGCAGTCAGCTTGCTGTTCCAAATTAGTGAATTCCATACGAGCTGTAAAGTTGGGCGGGTAAAATCGATCCAAGTGTAATTAAATTCACGGCGCAGGCGTGGCGTCGTAGCTCAAATCGGTATAGCGTTGGCTCCGCGTAAATTCCTTCCCTGCTGTGAGGGTCCGACTCCCGCCTACACTGCTAGTTTTTTCATAATTGGGTCAACCAAATTAAGTAAATCTGCCAAACCTCCTAAATACTAAAGTGGAATTAAACATTTTGCTCTCTTCTCTCCTCGTTTTGTAACTTTTTCACTCATATTTGCGGCACTTGTCGACTGGATGGCTTCTGTCCATTTTCCGACTGGTACTGCCTCCACCTTAAAGTATAAACACAATTTCCCTCTTTTTTTTTTAACAGAAACAATGTCCAAGGTGCCCCTTAAAAACGTCACTCAGTCTGTCCTACAGAACTTCTTCACTCCAACACCAAAAGCGGGCGCCTCGAAGAGAGTACTGACTTCGAACACCCCGACTCCAACAGATGAGGCCAGCGCTTCTAAGGCTGCACGACTTGACTGTGGGGATCAAACTGAAAAAGAAGGTACGAACATCTTGACATTTTAAAACTTCAGTATGGTTATCGTGGAGCCTATTCAATCAAGCCCGGAAATATTTTCTTTCAGTCTAAGCAGTTTGTGTGTGCCAAGTTTAACTGGCCTTAGAATATTCTGGAGCGGGGTGCTTGCGAGTCTTTTGGGAGATCATTATCTACCTCATAGTCTAGATAGTGAAAGAACCTTCATTGAAAGCTAGATCAGCATGGGCTAGAGTCCTTCCACTCTGTCAACTGTCATAGAATCCAGTGACGGAGCAGGGAACGTTAAATGATTTCTTGCCGTCTCTGATTGCGGCTGCGCGTCCATGCAAATGCCAGCTCGTTAGGACATCCGGCTTTCATGATGTGATATCGAAAGTCCGCAGTAGCCTATGCGATTGGCAAACATGCCGGTTGGCCTGTTCGGAAGGAAGAACTATCGCAGTTAATAGGCAAAACCCTTACAGCTGCAGTCTTCAGGTTCGGTTCTGTTTAGGAAGAAGTGGGATGCTGGGTGGGTGG